TGGCAGAAAACCGAAGGGGGGTCACCCCTCAAAGAAACCGAGAAAGCGAGGGGGGTCACCACCCCTCCCCCGGAAAACCTGGGGGGGTCACGACCCCCCCCCCTTTATTCGCCGCCGGCCAAGGACTTCCCCCCCTCCCCGCCCCCTCCTCCCTCCCCCCCCCTCCCTCCTCCCTCCCTCCCTCCCCCCTCCCCCCTCCTCCACCCCTCCCCCCCCCCCCTACGACGACGACGACGACGACGACGACGACGGCGACGACGACGACGACGACGACGACGACGACGACGACGACGGCGGCGACGACGACGACGACGACTACGAAGACGACGACGACGACGACGACGACGACGACGACGACGACGACGACGACGACGGCGACGACGACGACGACGACGACGACGACGACGACGACGACGACGACGACGACGACGACGACGACGACGACGGCGGCGGCGGCGGCGGCGGCGGCGGCGGCCGATGCGGCGACGGCGGCGGCGACGGCGACGACGGCGGCGGCGCACGGCGAACCACGACGACCACGTCGACGACGCAAGGCTTCATGTAAGGTCCCGCCCGCCCACCCGACTGAATTCCCCATTCCTGAGTGAATGTTGCATTTCATGTCCCGCCCGCCCGACGGCTCCACCATAGTTTCTCCCAGCCTTGTCCCATGGCAGAGTGAAGGTTACATTTAATGTCCCGCCCGCCCGACCGAACGCCCCATCCCTGAGTGAAGGTTGCATTTAATGTCCCGCCCGCCCGACCGAACGCCCCATCCCTGAGTGAAGGTTTCATGTAATGTCCCGCCCGCCCGACCCGCGTTTTCGGTGGTTGTAACATTATTTCTTTTTGCCTTGGCGCATCACACAGTTAAGGTTACATCTAATGTCCCACCCGCCCGACCGGCCGCCCCATCCCTCAGTGAAGGTTTCGTTCAATGTCCCGCCCGCCTGACCGGCGTCTTCGGCGGTGGCGATATATCCCGCCCCAGCCTTATCTTATCACAGAGCCGATGTTAGATGTTATGTCCCGCCCGCCCGACCGAATGCCCAATCCCTGGGTGAAGGTTTCACTTAATGTCCCGCCCGCTCGACCGGCGTCTTCGGCGGATGCGATATATGTTCATCAAGCCGTGTCCAATCACATGGTGAAAGTTACGTTCAATGTCCCGGCCGCCCGCCCGACTGATCTCCCCAAAATGCCATGTCTGAGTGGCGGTTGCATTTCATATCCCGCACGCCCGACCCGCGTTGTCGGCGGTTGTAACATCGTTTCCTCCTACCTTGGCCCATCATGAAGACTACATTTAATGCCCCGCCCGCCCAACCGGACGCCCCATCCTTGAGTGAAGGTTTCGTTTAATGTCCCGCCCGCCCGACCGGCGTCTTCGGTGGTTGCGAGATATGTTCCTAAAGTTTTGCCCCATGACAGAGGGAAGGCTACATTGGATGTCCCGCCCGCCCGCCCGACTGAACTCCCCATTGATGAGTGACGGTTGTATTTCATGTACCGTCCGCCCGATCCGTCCATGCGGCAGTTGTAACATAGTTTCCCCCCACCTTGGCCCATCACATATTGAAGGTTACATTCAATGTCCCGCCAGCCCTACTGAACGCCCCATCCCTGAGTGAAGGTTTACGGCCTTACGGCCGGTGCCGCCGACCATGAACGACGACGACGACGACCCAGGCCCTGGGACCGTCAAGAGACGGCTTGACGACCCAAGCCCCAGAGACAGCAGGGAGGAGTAGGAGGCGGAGGAGGAGGAGGAGGACGAGGAGGAGGAGGAGGAGAAGGAAGAGGAGGAGGAGGAGGAGGGGAGTATTTGCGGGGACCACGCATGAGGAGGAGGAGGAGGAGGAGGAGGAGGAGGAGGATTAGGATTAGGAGTAGGAGTAGGAGGAGGAGGAGGAGGAGGAGGAGGAGGACGAGGAGGAGAGGAGGAGGAGGAGGAGGAGGAGTAGGAATAGGAGGAGGAGGAGGAGGAGGAGAGGAGGAGGGGAGGAGGAAGGAGCAGAGGAGGAGGAGGAGGAGGAGGAGGAGGAGGAGGAGGAGGAGGAATTAAGAGGAGTTGGAGGAGGGGATCCCGGACACCCCGGACACCCCGGACACCCCGGACACCCCGGACACCCAGGACACCCCGGACACCCTGGACACCTTGGACACCCCAGAAACCCCGACAACGCCAGACACGCCGGACACCCCGGACACCCCGGACACCCTGGACACTCCAGACACGTCCCCCGGACACCCCGGACACCCCTGACACCCCGGACACCCCGGACACCCCAGACACCCCGGACACCACCCCGGACACCCCGGACACCCCGGACACCCCGGACACCGGACCCACAGAGGACTATTCGTTTCGTCGCGACACGTTTTCCACGTCCAGCTTCCCAGGCTTCAACGTCCCGAGCTTTTCCCAGCCTCCTGTCCCTATTAGCTCGCAGGGCACTGCGTGTCGCTGGGACCGCCGCCGCGACACGCGAAGCAGGAGTTCCCAACCTCGACACCAACGGCGCGCGACACGCCTCAGGGGGGTAGGTTTTGTTCGGGTGTGCGCCCACTTTTCACACCGGTCTGATCTGCGAGGTTGTGATTCATCGTCTCCCCCTGGACGGCGGCCGGTTGGAAGTGTTCGTTGATTCTTGCATGTTGTCTGTCCTCGTGATGCTTCCCCGCAGCGGCGCTTCGTTGAGGGTTCTCCTGGGGTGCCCCGAATCGTCCCGAGCGGCTGCCAGAGGCCCGAGTTATGACCCTTGGGCAACCTGGCGCTCGGCGCCCTTCCTTCTATCTCCAAATAAGTCTGAGTCGGTAGTTTGTCGTCTAACCCATCCCCATCCCCGTCAGGCCGTGATTTTTCAGCACCACCAGCCCACCGTCCCAGGTGGGAGTAGGCTCCGCAAAGCCCGAAGGCACAGGCATACATCCCCCTCCCCGGTGGGGGGAGTCGGCCAGTGCGGCCGAGGCCACGCCAGTGAGGACGGGGATCGGTTCAACGATTCTCGTGTGTCATATGTTGAATCCGAGGATTTGAGAGTCGCCAGTAATGTATCTTTGGGTCTCCCCCTGCGTCTCCTCGCCCTCGTCTCCCGCCCAAGCGCCCCGTGCCTCGTCTGCACAGGGGCGGCAACCCTACCCTCCGAGGCGCGGTGGCCTGGCGACCTGATTGACCAAGCTCGAGACATCGGTCAGCCCGGGGGCGCGAAGACGATCGCGGCTTCTCGCGCCGCGGCCCGGGCCGCCAAGGTGCCCTTCCCAAGGGGGAGCGGGCGATGGCGCGCAGACAGCAGCGCGCCGCGCATCGCGGGGCGCGATGCGGGAAGTGAGGCGGCATCGAGCTTGCATTAAGTCGGGCCTGTCCCCCTACAGGGGGATTTTCGACCAAAAATAAAAGATACCCCAAACATAGTCCAAAAATAATCATAACATAGTCTGGGGACTATGTTTGGACTATTGTTTTGCCTTTTTGGTGTATGGTTAGGGTATTTTTTATGTGTCGTCGGAAATCCCCCTGTAGGGGGACACGCCCGACATAATCTTACCCCTGGGTAGCGTCCCGTGCGCGTCCTCTAAGACATGGCGCTCGGGCCGCACGTGGAGGAGGCCGGAGAAGGATGAAGAGAAGGGGGATGACAAGGAGGGGGGCAGGCTGGAAGGGGGCAGGCCGTTGGCAAGATGGACACGTCAGCCTGGAGGAGGAGGGGGAGGAGGAGGAGGAAGAGCAGGCGCAGGAGCAGGAGCAGGAGGAGGAGGAAGAGGAGGAGGAGGAGGAGGAGGAGGAGGAGGCGGAGGTGGAAGGAGTCTTTCTCCTCAGCTTTCTCCTCCGCGTTTCAATCGTTCAGAATGAGTGGCGCTATTTTCTCGGCGAGCGACGTTCTCTTCACGGGGCGGGCCGCTGCGAAAGCCCCCTCTCCATTCGTTTGCAAGTTACAGGTTGTTGCCACCGGCTCTCCTACGAGCCTGCCATTATTGCATCTATCTCGTATTTCACCGTCATTCCCCCTTCTGTCGGGCTACCACGAGCATCGCCCCCGCTCTGGAAACGTTGACTTGGATGACCGCCGTGCCAATGTCTGGCTGCTTGCGCGCAACGACTCTAGCGGTCAGATTCAAACGCCAACACCTCACAACGTACGATAGACGCACATACCATTAATTGGTTTGTGTAGGGACGAGGCTGCAGCTCACGACGCGAGCATTTACGGCCGCTAGACACTGCCATGCACAGGGGACGAATACCAAGGCACGTCGGGCTCGCGGGTGGAAGCGAAAGCATCTCTTAACGCTCAGGTATGGAACAGAGGAGCCTCCAGTCCAACAGTGATTCAGTCATGACGAGAACCCACGCCCTCGGCAGGCGGCTGCGCGGCGACTCCCCAGGGCAGGCGCCGTGCCACTGCACAACGCAGCCACGAAGGCCACCTCGCCTTGGTGCCGGCTGGCCAGGAGAGACAGAAATACCACTACCACCCGCTGGGGGGGTGGCCGCTCCCTCCTCTCGAGCTGGTGGCACCTCCTTCCGGGCACTCTCTGGAGGCATGCCCGAAACGAGGCGCCACCAGCTCGAGAGGGTGGGACAGCCACCCCCCCTAGCTGGTGGTCGTGGTACTGCTGTCTCTGGTGAGCTGGGGGTCTAGGTGGCCCAGCCGTGCTTCCAGCGCGCAGGGCTGTGGGATCGGGGAGAGGTTTTTTGCCTTTCTTCGGCCTCTGTGGGCCGTGGCCAGGCCAGTCGCCCATTCATCGCCGATAGGGGCCCGATAGCCCACTCCGCCCAGGACTGCGAGTTCGCTATCGGGGGCAAGTCGCGGCTCTATCGGCGATGTATCTCCGATTCCAGGTCGATGTCCCCCCCACCCAGTGCTGGCTCCCCGATTATTGCCCTTCAGTATTCCTTCTCCCCACCCTCCTCATTTTTCCTCATTTTTCCTTATGCCGTCTCCCCTTCTCTTTTCCCCGTCATCCCAGCTGCTGCCAGCTTGCACCGCGTGCGCCAGGCGAAGATCCATGTGGAGGAGGGTGACACGCTCACGGCGCTCAGCTTGCCCCAGAAGTTGAGTGACGGCACGGTCCGCATGCATTGCGACGCAAAAGGTCCACGGAGAGTTTAGAACATGAGACAGATGGGCATGGCCACCTGAGCGAATTCGAAGGGGTGTGCGCGGAAATATGAGCGCAAGTCTTCCTCGTGAGGTCGCGCGTAAGCGACGTCTTTTTTAACTTTGGCGTGTCGCTTCAGCGGCATGGGGGGAGGAGGGGGAGCAGGAGAGGAGGAGGAGGAGGAGGAGGAGGAGGAGGAGGAGGAGGAGGAGGAAAGAGGAGTAGGAGGAGGAGGAGGAGGAGGAGGTGTTTCTGAGCCACAAAGGTGTTGTCGGTTGGGTCACCGTGCGCACCAACATGGGCACCAAGCTCGTGGCCCCGTTCTCCCAGATCAACATGAGGACCGCCCGGAGGGGGCCTGTCGGCGACCTCAAAGGGTGCGGTTACGCCGGGGTGTGGTTTGCAATCGGCGCCGTTGGGGCCAGGGGAGCACGGCACTGTCGTCGTCTGGCCTTCGCGGGGCGCGGCGGAAAACCATATCGATGTCCCCGCCCGCCACCCCGGGGTGCCCCCCAGTGCGCCTGTTACAAACCACATCCTTTGCAAACCACACCCTTCGGAGTCGTTGAGCGTGGGGTGAAGGAGCTCCGAGGAAGGGGGCTCCTTTCTTATTGAAAGTCAGATTGAAAGAAAGCCGATGGAGGTTTCTTGCTAATTGAGGCCTCTGGGGGCCCCCTCCAGGCGCCAGGACCGCCGAACAACGACTAAGGATGAACAGCTGGACCCGGCAAATGGGTGGGGGTGCGAATTGGCAATTTCGTGAACACAACAGAAAGGGGGTGGGGAGCGGGGGGGGAAGTGCGGCCGCGGGGGATCAGGGGCAGCGCTAGGGGTAGATGGGCTCAGGGGGGTTGCGTCGATCCCCAATCGCCCATTGGTCACCGATAGGGGGGGCCAGTTCGCCCAGGAACGTGTGGACTGGCTATATGGGGGAACTATCGCCGATCTATCGAAGATGTATCTCCGATTTTAGCTCCATGCTGCCCCCCCCCCTGAGCCAGTCCCCCTTAGTTATCTTGTCCCCTCAGGGGATGGACTTCCGAGACCGGAACTGCATATATATATATAGGAGGAGGAGGAGATCCCCAGACAGGTCCGCGCCTTGGGCGCGTCCTCGCCCTCGGCGGAAGGCCTGCAGAAGTACGACGGCGGGCGGGTCCGCCACGGCGAAGGCTAGCGGCAGATCGGCGGGAGGCGGCGGAAGCAAAGGCGAGACGGCGGAAGCAGAGCCGGCCATCGATGTCCGCCACCTGTCGACTACACATGAGAGTGACCCTTCGTCGGAGGGACCTTTGGTGCGCGCCCATTGGGGCCCCCCGATCGCCGAGTGCGGTGCGATAGTAGCGTCTTGCGCGCTTGTGTTTGGTCCCCCCGCGGCCCTCAAAACGCCGCGCACCGAAGGTCACTCTTACCCTGCGAGGATCTCCGCTATAGCTATAGACGACCACGACGGCGAGGGGAGCAGGGATGAGGGGGGTGGGAGCCGATGGGGAGCTGGGGGCGCAGGGGGGGAGCTGAGTGATGAGGGAGATGATGAGGTGGGGGAGGAGCCGTGGGGAGATGGGGAAGCTGATGACCCCCAGCTGCTGCGAGGCGGGGATCCTGCGCCATCGCCGCCCAGAGAGCAGACCTTCCAGGACCTCAAGGAGGGCGCTGGGCCCCACGAGGGCCCGAGGCCATGCCGGTGCGCCGCCTCCCGAGGCGCAGGGAGTAGGCTCGCCAGGTTCTGCTACGGGTTGGTTCTTTCCGGGGCCAGGCGGCATCACGTGGGACGCCCAGCTCGGGTCGGTGCGGCTGCGAGGGCTCGGCACGGGTCGTTTGCGTGGACATGCGCGCGCAAGCTGCCCGAGCGCCTTCGTTTCCCTGGCAGCGTGCCGCGCTGCCTGCCCGCGGAGAGCCACCGCGTGCGGTCGCTGTGTCATCGTGCGTGCGCCCCGTCCTTTTGCTGTCGCTCCAGTTGAGACGAGAAAGGACAAGGAGGCAGGGATCGAGGTGGGATGCTCAGGGCCTGGGATTCACCGGCGAAAGCAACTGCTAGCGTGTCGCGCCACAGGCCCACCAGACATCGGCGCGACACGCCAAGCACGTCCCAGTTCCCAAGCGTCAGCGATCCGAGCCTTATCCAGCCTCCCGCCCCGCGAAGCGGAGCGACGCACTATCCGCTCTTGGGGCACAGCGTGACGCGGGGGCCGCCGCCGCGACACGCTAAGAAAGAGTTCCTGGCCGTAGACGTATGCACCGCCTGTGGAGGTGGGGTGTTCCTGGACATCGGGATGCGGTTGCGTCGAATGTGGATGTAGTCCGGGCCCCCGGGGGGAAAGACATCCACACATCCACCCCCTGCCGTCCTGAGAGATCCGTTCCCCAGGCGGCGGGTGTGGATAAGTTCCCGCATCGCATGGGCGGGATCGAGGTTCGCGGGATCTAGGTTCCGGGCGCACGAGGGTCAGCGCCATTGCGCTTCAGCCTGATCCCCTCGGCTGACCCGGGTTGGGAAGCCACGTGGAGCCGACTCGTCAGAGATCCGGGGTCTTGTTGTTTCGAGGGTCGGAATCAGGGAAAAGAGGCTCTTCTGAGGGACAGGAATCCCGAGGATGTTCGCCGTTTTATAGATGGAGGTGCGCTACCTGGGCCCCAGGACCTTAACAACAAGTCGGGATCAACAGCTGGCCCCGTTTTCATCGGGGGCGTTCAAGACGGGGGTGAGCAGGGGTTGCGTGAATGTCAGTGCTGGGGCAATGAAATCTCCCAGATCCCCCGTTATTCTCTCAATGTGTCCCCTGTCGCCCACGCACATGATGCATGCCACGGGCCATGATGGTCTAATCCACCTCCTCCTGGCCCCTCTCCCAGGGCGCACCTGATTCCACCAGGAGCATTCTCATCCAAGGGTGGGAAGGGGCGGCGACATGGGGATGAGGGCAGGATGAGGCGGTTTTAGGCAGCACGCATGAGCAGGATGACGACGACGACGACGACGACGACGACGACGACGACGACGACGGAAGTGACGAAGACTAGCACGACGCCGAGAAGCAGCTAAATATGGCAGCAGGAGGTGACGGGGGAGGAGGACGAGGAAGAGGAGGATGAGGAGGAGGAGGAAGAAGAGGAAAGAGAGAGGGGGAAGAGGAAGAGGAGGAGGAGGAGGAGGAGGAGGGACAGGAGGAGAAGAAGGAGCAGGATGAAGCAAAATGAGGACCTGTCTTTTCGAGCCGCCCTCCAAACCTCCTGTCTCCTTGCCCCTCTGCCCTAGTTGCGGAGGCTTGAAGCTCACAAAGAAGGCGGCGGAGCTCACCGCCTTCTAGTTCCGCGCCGGGGGGCCGGAGCCCTCCAGCGGCAGCCTCGAGAAGCTGGCCCGGTGCATGGAGCAGTGACGCGCGCTGCTCCACCGGCTTCACGAGGGGGTCCGTGTCTGTCGGGTCTCCACCACCCCGATGGTGTGCGCGGAGGTCCTGCGGGCGCATCGGGATCCGCAGAGCAAAGCGTCGCTTCTGGCTCAGCCGCCGGCTCAGCCGTCGCTCACCTCCCCCAGTCCGCCTCGTTCCTGGCTTCCTGTTCCCCTTGATATCGAAGACGCCTCGACGAATCGCCGCCGCCCCCTCCCTGTTGGAATCGCCCATCTGGCCGAGCGGCGTGGCAAGAGCTCTGCCGAGCTATCGGACCATGTGTTCCCCCAGCCGTTGTGGAAACCCTTCGGGGAACACTTCGGGGAGGATGGCGGGGAAGATGAGGAGGAGCAGGAGGAGGAGGAGTAGGAGGAGGAAAACAGGAGGGGGCATCGTGGGAGCCTCTGGAGGCACTCTTGGGACCTCCTGGGAGCTTCCTGGGAGCCTCTTGGAGCCATAATTATTGGGGGCCTCCTTGGGCCTCTTGGGGGCCTCGGAGGGCTTCTCGGGGGCCTCTTTGGCTGTCTTCGGGCATTCCTGGCCCGTCGGACGCCGTCGGAAGCCGTCTTGGGGGCCTCTCTTGACCGACTTGAGGTGGCCTTTTTGGGATGCTCCTTGAGGCCGTTTTGGAGGCCATCTTGGGCGTCCTGTTGGGCCCTTTGGCCGTCTTGGGGCGCTCTTGGGCCTGTCTTGGGGGCCTCTTGGGCCGTTCTGGGGCCATCTTGGAGGCCTCTTCGGCGATCTTGGGGCCAACTTTGGGGGCTCCTGGGCCGCCTCGGCCCATCGGAAGGCCGCAAAGGAGCAAATGCAACAATTGGTCAAAAACCGATGGAACATCAATGATCGTGGCCTCTTCGGGCCTCCCTGGAGGCCCTCTTGGGGGCCTCTTGGGCCGTCTTGTAGACCTCTTCGGGGCCTCTTGGCCGTCTTGGGCCATCTTGGAGCCATCTTGGGCCGTCTTGGTGGGCTCCTGGCCCGTCTGACGCCGTCGGAAGCCGTCTTGGGGGCCTCTCTGGGCCGACATGGGGCCCTCTTGGGGTGCTCCGGGGCTGTCTTGGAGGTCGTCTTGCGCGTCTTGTTGGGCTCTTGGGCCGTCTTGGGTCTCCTTGGGGCCGTCTTGGGGCCTCTTGTTCCGTTCTGGTGCCATCTTGGAGGCCTCTTGGCCGATCTTGGGGCGATCTTTGGGGGCTTCTGGGCCGTCTCGGCCCATCGGAAGGCCGAACAGAGTAAATGCCAAAGTTCTTCAACAATATTTGCAAACGCAATGATTTGGGCATCTTCGGGCTTTCCTGGGGCCCCTCTTGAGGGCCTTTTGGGCCGTCTTGGGCGCCTATTGAGGGCCTCATGGGCCATCTTGGAGCCATCTTGGGCCGTCTTGACGGCCTCCTGGCCCGTCTGACGCGTCGGAAGCTTTCTTCGGGGCCTCTCTGGACCGACTTGGGGCCCTTTTGGGTGCTCCTGGGGCCGTCTTGGAGGCCATCTTGGGCGTCCTGGAGGCCTCTTGGGGCGCTCTTGGGGCCGTCTTGGGGGCCTCTTGGGCCATTCTGGGGCCATCTTGGAGGCTTTTGGGGCCTCTTGGGGCGATCTTGGGGCCCTCTTGGGCCGTCTTGGGCTGTCAGGAAGCTGGGAAGAGGCAAATGCCAACATCTTTCAGTCACCAACGCAAAACCAATGATTTTGGCTTCTTCGGGCCCTCCTGGAGGACGTATGGGGGGCGTCTTGGGGCCCTCTTGGGCCGTCTTTGGCCATCTTGGAGGCTTCTTGGGCGGACTCGGAGGCATCTTGGAGCCATCTTGGGCCGTCTTGGCGGCTTCTTCGGCGAACTTGGAGGCAACTTGGGAAGGCTCGTTGGGATCTCGTGGGAGGCCTCTCGGGGGCCTCTTGGAGGCAATTTGGAGGCCTCCTGGGGGCCGTTTCGGAGCCTCGTGGGGCCTCTTTTGTGCCTCTTGGGTGCCTCTTGGGCGCCTCTTGGTGGCATCTTGGGAGCCTCTTGGGGGCCTCCAGGGGCCTCCTGGGCACCTTGCCCAGTCCTCCTGGCGCGTGCCACCTGGGCTCCCCCGCACCTTGTCGCGTGATTTGTTCGGCCCCAGCAGGGTCTCAAGACGGCCGAGAGAGCCTCGAGAGCTTCCGCAACGCTCAAGAGGGCCTTAAGGTGAACAACGCGCTCAAGAGTCGCCGACCGATCGCCCCAACTCGCTCAAGATGGCGAAAGAGCCCCAAGAGGCGAAAAGCAGTGATTTTCTTTAGTTTTTGAAGGATTTAGGCGTTCTCGCCGTTTCGGCTTTCCGATTGTGCGAGACGGCCCTTGAGGCCCCCAAAACCGCCCCAAGATGGCCCAAGAGGCCTCCAAGAGGGTCCCCAAACAGCCCAGGGGGGCCCCAAGGCGACCTTAGAGGTGTTCAAAACAGCCCAAGAGGGCCCCAACACAGCCCAAGAGAGGGACCACGAACCGACTATTCGAGCTTTCCGCCCCAAGAGGCCCCTAGAAGGCCCCAAAAAAGACCTGAGGACACGCCCACTACGTGCCCAGCGGCACGGTGGCGGGTCAAGGCGTCGTGCACAGCACGACAGGTTTTCCTTGGCCGCGGGCTCTTCACAGACCGATCCGGCTTGAGAAAGTAAATTAAGAATGCGGGTCGAGTGTTGATTATGTTTGTGATTTTTTTTCGCTTCGCGGGGTGCAACTTGGGAGCGCGTGCAGCCAGGCCGTTGGAGATTTTTGTTGGTGGCCCCTTGGACAGTGCGTGACTTTGCAGGGTCTGCTGTGCTCGTCTGCCATGCTTGTCTGCTGCAGGCACCCTTTGGCCATCTCGGGGGCCTCTTTTGCCCACTTCGTTGGCAATTGGGGCTCTTTGGCGGTACACTTGGGCCGTCTTGCGACACTCTTCGGTCGTCTCGGGGCCGTCTTGGGGGCCTCAGTCATCTTGGCACCAACCCATTTGGTGTGTAGGACGCCTTTTGTGCCGTCTCGGACTCTCACAAGCCTGGCATCCGTAAAACACCAAAATAGCCACAGCAGGTTGTTCATGCTGCACGCTGCCCCTTTCCCCACGGCTCTGGCTTGACAGTGAGGTGCGGGGTCGGTGGCCGAATGATTTGCCCTGTACTCGCCGTGATGGCTTTTGTTGGGCGCCGATTTCCCCTGACGGATATCATCTTCTTGGCTACCCTCGCCCATATCCATTTTGGCTCAAGCTGATCGTTTTTTTTCAGCTTCAGCCGAAAACGTAAGCTTACGACAGTTGTGGGGCTCTCACCGCTCACTACACCATCCTACACCGCATGACGAAGCAGCAATGGGGCCGCAATTCTTCGTCTCAGCAGTGGTCATCTGCTGGCTGGGAGTGCAAGATATGTCAGCAATGGAACTGGCCCAATCACAAGTCGTGCTGGACGTGCCGTGCGCAGCGGTCCTACGCCGAGGTGGTGAATACTACCTCCCAGGTGCCGCCGAAAGCACCGTCGCCGGGCCAGGCCCTGCAGCAGCAACTGATCGAGATCACGCGGCAGTTTGGCTACAGCCTCGGGGATGGGGCTGGACAGGCTGCACCTCCTCCTGCGAATCAAGAACCTCCGCTCCCCAAGGCGGCGGGGCAGGAGAGCGACGAGAAGATCGACCGCAAGCAGTTGCAGCACCTCGAGGCCTCGCTCTCCCAGCTCCCCGACGAGCCCTGCTTCGCGGAGGCCCGCGCGGCCATCTGCAAGCAGATCTCCGAGGTCAAGGGCCGCTTGGACTGCGCCAAGCCGATTGGGGCCCGCATCGACTCGTGCAAGGCGGCGCTCACGCGGGCACGCCAGCGGCTGGCCACAGCCGATGCTGCCCTGCAGGCAGCCCAGGCGGCGAAGGCGACGGCGACAGGGCAGATCTCCTCCCTCGAGGCCGATTTGCGGGAGCTCGAGGCCGTCGTCGCCGAGGAGGCCACCAAGCAGCGCTCATCCAACTGCCTCGAGCGCTTCCAGGCGAATTTGACCACCGTAGTCAACGAGATGAGCAGCGCCGGCACCGTCGGCAGCGCAGAGATTGCCACGACCATGCAGCAGATGTCGGCCTTGTTCCAGAACCTTACCCAGATCTCGACCCAGGTATCGGCGGTGAACATGGCCGTCGATGCTGGCCCAACGGCTCCGGCACCAGGCCCTGCGGACGAAGGCGCTACCGCTGCCATTGTTCCGGGTGCCCGCGGTCACCTACAAGCCCTTCTGCGGTCAAATGCTGCGCAGTCGCCGTTGGAAAGTCCTTCGGTGGCGGTCGCAGCCCCTGGTGGGGCGTAGCACTGTCTACGAATGCATCCGAATTCATACCGGGGAAACATGCTCACCCTCTTTGCTGTGATCTTCGTCGCGGTCCCGGGGTTGGCAGTCTTAATGCCCGCCAGGCCGACAGAGCGGACCGTCCTGTCCCGGCCACGCCAACTTCTACATCCATATTTTCTCCTTCTACCACACCAGCGGTGGACATACTTAATTCGCTAAAGGTTTCCACTGTCAATGTCTGCACACTATGTCCTCGCGAGCTGCTGAAGTCATGCACGAAGCAAGCGTGCGGGTCTACCTCGAGAATGCTTCTCTTGGATGACCTGTTCTGGCGTTCTGGAGCACACGTGGTATGCATCCCAGAGGTCCGGATCCCCTGGGAGGGGCAGCGCAGCGGCCCCCACTACAAGATGTACCGCTCAGGGGCGACATCCTCGGGCACTGACGGAACTCACATATGGATATCGTATGACCTTCGATATTTAGTCACAGCAGTCAAACCGATCTCGCCCGGACTCCTTCGAGTGGTGGTCGAAGTCGGGCCCTTCCGATTACATTTTGTTTCGGGCCACTCTCCAATCGAGGCGGCCTCCGCTCAAGACAAGACGGACTTTTGGCACGCGTTGCTCATGGATCTCAGTCCAGTCGCCGCCGATCCTATGAACGTCATCTTCCTTGGCATCGACGCGAATGCCCGGGTTGGTTCGGTGGTGAACGATTACGTGCCAGGTGCCGAAGCAGACAGTGAAACTCCAAACGGTATGGCCTTGAGATCCCTTGCGACCGAGCTCAAGTTGAGAGCGGTCAACACATTTGTGGAGGCCGGGTACACATGGACGAGCTCTAAGCACACTACGTCCAGGATCGACTACATTTTGACCCCCCCGAAGATCGCGGATCTGATGAAGGCTTGCACCACGAACCGGGACGTCGATCTCGCTACGAAAAGCCGCGATGACCATCGAGTCTTGGGGTGCCAATTCGAAGGTATCTTCGGTTTGCTGGAGGCGGAGGCCGTGACCAGAGGAGTTGAGGGCGCCCTCGTAAAGGCACGTGTTCCTTTCCCGCCGAAGTACACGGACGAGTCTTTACGGGACCCTGCTTGCAGATCTTATTTCCAGCGTCTGCTCCAAGATTTCGAATGGAAACCAGCATCCGCATGCCAGGGTGAGCTGCGGGACCAGAGGAGCTCCATTAACTCGCAGATTGCATATTTTGTTGACCACTTGCGGTGGTCTGCTACGCAGTCGTTCGCGCTCGCCACCCGAGCACCGAGGAAACCGTGGTTGAGTCAGGCATCGTGGACCATAGTGCAACACTCCAACGCCCTTCGGAGCCTCTCGCGACGGTGGAGAAGAGCGCGGCGGACAGTGATCCTTAGTTTGGGCTTCCGCCTCTGGTAGGCAATCGCCCTGAGTCCAGACGACGTCAGACCCGTGGAGCCCATCGGAGCCCCGCGGAGTCGGCAGCTTCGACCCAGACAGTGGACTTTCTTCGACACCGTGGATCGTGCCACCCAGATATACCAGGCCGCAGCTACCCGCATCGACATGGAGTTAGCTCGAGCAGAGCAGGCGTTGCACCGCGCATGTGCTTTCAAGTGTCCCTTCATTCGGCGGGATAGGCAGAACGCACTACTCGACGCAGCTGACCGCGCGCAGCACGCCGCAGACATGCACGACCCTCGGGAGCTTTACAACATCGTGCGACGGCTGGCGGGCACTTCTTCGAAGGCCCTGGCCACGATTACACGCGAAGATGGTTCAGTACTGGACACGCCCCAAGCTGTGATGGCCCGCTGGCGACGGCATTTTACGAACCTGTTCCGAGCCAGCCGCGCGTCCCAGAGGACGTCACGTGTCTGCCCGCCGGCGCCCAGCCCGATCCCCGCCCTGCTGCCGAGCCGGCCGGCTGCGCGGGCAACGAGGCCCGCAACCTCATCGAGGGCCTGGTCAACATCACGCCCCCCTTGCGGGCGTCGTCTTTCAATCCGACCACCAAGGAGATTTTCGTTGTCATCCAGTCCGTGGGCGGCAGCAGCGGCGTCGGCGAGGACGCTTTGTCTGCCTTGATCGTCAAAGCTGGGGGGTGGCATGCCGCCGAGATCATCAGCAAGATCATCCATGACATCATTCACGTCAGGCACGTTCCTTTGGCATGGCGCGGGGGCAAATTTGTGGTGATTTACAAGGGGGAGGGCACCGCCACGGACCCAGATAACTACAGGGGCATTTTGTTATCGGACCACCTTGGGAAGATTCTCGCCTCCCTCCTGCAGGCGCACCTCAACGCTACGTATGAGAAAGCCGTGGGCGTGTCCCAATACGGGGCCGTAAAGCATCGGGGCACGGCGATGACGTCGTTGGTGGTCCGATCCTTTCTGGACCTCTGCTCGGCGCGTTGTTGGAGCTTTTTCGTCCTTTCCGTCGATCTGTCCAAAGCTTTCGATTATGCTATCCGTGAAGTTGTGATGAGCTGGATGCCCGACGCGTCGTCCGCCTCCCTCGAGGAGAACAGGGCACTGCTTGAGAAGCTCGGCGTTCCTGAGCGTGCATCCCATCGCCTCGCGGAGTGGATTGGCAAGACCGGCGGGTTCCTTGCCTTCAGCGGTGCTGACCCAGCCGTGTGCGAGCTCGTCACGTCCCTTCATCATGGAGCATGGTTCCGCCTCCCCGGAGACGAACCGTACATTGTTAGCGTGTCAGGGGGTCGCCATGGTATTCAATGTGATATATAGCCTCGCCCTTCTCATGCTCAAACAAGAGCTGCTCGACCTCGGCATCATCCTGTGGGTCGCGAGCGCGCCGTCCTCCGCGTTTTGGGGCACGCAGACTACCGCGACCAGCTGGGCAGCTGACGAGCGGTCGTCTCCGGTCTTCGAGGTCACGTACGTTGACGACGAGTGCATTTTCTTGGCCGCCTCGAGTGCGTGAGCCATGATGCAGGCCATTCCAAAGTTGATGAGTTGCTTGTGTACTACGTTCCAATACTTTGGCTTCCAAATTAACTGGAAGCCGGGCAAAGCGGAGAGCTTCGTCATCTTACGAAGCCACCGGTCCGTGCAGCACATGCAACAAATTCGGGATAACAACATGACATTCAGACTTGTCGACTCCGCCATTGCCCTACGCGTTGTCTCGGAGTATAAACACCTTGGGTCTTTGATATCTCGAGACGGCAAGCTGGTCCCCGATGCCGTCCACAGGCCGTGTACGGCAATGGCATCCTATTGCCCGCTCTCTGCCAAAATCTTCGCTTGCAGACGCATTGCCCGGCAGGTGCGGAGTCGACTCTTCACGTCCTTGGTCGTGTCCAGGCTGATAAATAAGGTGCATGTGTGGAGCCACATGCCCAAGAAAGCGTACGCCAAACTGCATGCAGTGTACATGAGCGGCCTCAGGCGCATCGCGGACGCCGCGAGATTCCGAGCTACAGGCCATGGTAGCGACGTGAGTGTGAGGCAGGCGCTGGACTGACCTAGCCTACAGTGCCTCATCACGCAGCGTCGTCTTCTTCTCCTCTCCTCGCTCCTGAGGTTCGCCCCCCCCCCCCCCCCCACCCCACCTCCTCTCTCTCCTCTCCGTCCCAGCCGGTGCGACTGGAACGAAGCTGCCATGGGTGCAGGGCGTGCTTCGCGATCTCGAACTTTTCAATATGTTGCATGACGAAAGTACAGGAGTTAGGCCCGCCCTCGGAACACCCCGACCGATGGGAGACATTCATCATCCGCTTTCCCAGTCAGTGGAAGTTCTTGGTACAGCGATTGCACCATCTAGAGATGCAGTTTGATCCGCCTGGTGAGCAGACTTCCCTGCCTGCCCCACTCGCTCGTTTCACCTGCCCCACTTGCTCGTCCCACCTCCCCTCCGAGCAGGCCCTTGCCTCTCATCGGAGAGCAAAGCACGGTGAGCGCACGCCCTTCCAAGCGTTCCTTCCCGCCTCTGGGGTGCGCCGGGTTTGCCGACTCAGGTTTTCTTCCCGGCCACGCCTGTTGGCTCATGCCATTGAGACCCGGAGGCGCGGCAGGCGCAAGACATTGTGTAGTGATTTCTTCCAGTCTGGCCTGGTTGCTCCGTTACCGCAGGCCGAGATCGACGCAGCCAATCGTGCCGACCGCCTCTTGAGAGGCGAGGCCCAAAAACGAGGCCTGACACAGCCGCGCTCGACCTATCCTGTAAAGAAGAGGGCCGTGTCGCCGACCGTCCCCCCTCATACATCATCGCCAGAAGCTGGTTTTTCTTATCTGGAAGATGTCCCCCCTCCGCCCAACGCGGTGGCGTGGGAGGCCATCCGGCCCCGGAAGCGGCTGCGCACAAAGGTGTCGCTTGACGAAGTGGCGCTTGCTCAGGCCTAGCCTCCGCTATCCCCACGTCTGCATGCATTTGAATTTATATGTCTGCACAGGTTTTCGGCCTAACTTGAAGGGGCAAATCTTGGCTACCCTAAACACCCACGTATTCCCCTTTCCCTTCCCTTTTTCTTCTTTCCCCCTTCCCCTTCCCCTCTTCTCTCCTCCCCTCGCCTGCCGTCGTATACGTCTGTGTCTACTCCTCTTTCTATATTTTTACAAGCCCGGGGGGGAGAAAACCATCCCCCAAAAAAGACCCTCGGGATCTGGAGTTTTCAGGCTCCCTTGGACGTCCTTGGAAAAGGTCACCCGGCTTTCCGGATCTCCACAAACGCCTTGCCAGCAGACCCAGACCGATCCGAGGAATCATCAGAAAAGGCCCAACGGAGGCCCCAGACAGCACAAGAGCGCTCCAAGAGGGACTCCAATTGCGTCAGGACGGCCCAAAAGACCCCCAAGGCACCCCAAGAAGCTTTCCAAGGGGCCTTCAAAGCACAAGGATCGTCCCATTCCCTCCGTAAAACTTACAATTTTAGCATCTTCGCCTTTCGGAATTCATCGGATTTCATCAGCTTTCGAGACGGTTTCAAAGCCCCCGAGAGCCTCCACACGCTCCAAAAGGCACCCAAGAAAGTTTCAAGACGGCCGAGCCAGGCCCCACGATCGCCCACGAGAGCCCCAGGACAGCCCATAATGGAACCAAGAGGCCCCCCAAGGGCTCCCAGCACAGACCCAAAAGGGCCATGGGAGGTCCCCAGAAGTGCCAAAGATGGGTCCAAAGGGGGCTCCAGCTGGCCCAAGCTCCCCAAGACGGCCCAAGAAGGCCCCAGGACGGCCCATGAAGGCGCCAAAACGGCCCACGAGGACCCCGACAACACCCCCACGATGTTTCCGAATGCCAACATAAAGACCCCTAAGGCGCCCCAAAAAGCTGTCCAAGGGGCCTTCAAAGCACAAGGATCGTCCCATTCCCTCCGTAAAACTTACAATTTTAGCATCTTCGCCTTTCGGATTTCATCGGATTTCATCAGCTTTCGAGACGGTTTCAAAGCCCCCGAGATCGCCTCCAGACGCTCCAAAATGCCCCCTAGAAAGCTTCAAGACGGCCGAGCCGGGCCCCACGATCGCCCACGAGAGCCCCAAGACAGCCCATAATGGAACCAAGAGGCCCCCCAAGGGCTCCCAGCACAGACCCAAAAAGGCCATGGGAGGTCCCCGGAAGTGCCCAAGATGGGTCCAAAGGGGGCTCCAGCGGGCCCGAGCTTCCCAAGACGGCCCAAGAAGGCCCCAGGACGGCCCATGAAGGCGTCAAAACGGCCCACGAAGGCCCCGAAAACACCCCCCCCATGTTCCCGAATGCCAACATTCATTGATTTTGCTCCCGTGACATTTCACATCGTGACCCAGGCGTTGAGGGTCTCGTGGCATGCAGCGAAGATGCCCGAGGATGCCCCGTACGAGTTGCATATGCATGTTCATACCCTTACACACATCAATTTATATGTGCATATGTACGCTGCATACACGCGTATAACCATGTAAGTATATTGTATACACCTAGACATGTATACGGAACGTGCATGCGAGTGCGCGGGTTCACATGCATGCGCGCATGTACGCACGCACGCATTCCGCTTGCGTGCAGAACTCAAAGGACCAAGGTCCATGGCTCGCAGCGCCAATGCAGTCTTGTATATATATATATATATATATGTGAGATTTTTCGAATGTACGCTACCATGTGCGTGAATGTGTACGAATGGCCTTCGACCCATCCCGCCACCGTGCTTGGGTGTTGGGTATGAAGCTTATTCGATGTTGGTTCGGATCTCGTGGGAGGCCTCTCGGGGGTCTCTTCAAGGCAGTTTTGAAGCCTCTTGAGGGCCGGCTTGGGGTCTGGGGCGTCTTTTCGACCTTTTGGAGGCCTCCTGGGGGCCTCTTGGGGCTGCTTGGGGGCCTCTTGAGGCCTCCTGGGCGCCTCTGTGGGCCTCCCGGGCCTTCTGGGACCGTCTTAGGGGCCCTCTTGGGCTGTCTTGGGCTTCTTGGGGCCTCCTGGGGGGGCCTCTTGGGGCGGAAGGCTTGGATTTTCGATTCGTGTTCCCTCTCTTGGGCCCCCTTTGGGGGCGTCTTGGGGCCCTCTTGGGCCGTCTTGGGGCTCTCCTGGGCTGTTTTGGGGCCCTCTTGGAAGCCTCTTGGACCGTCTTGACGCGATCTTGGGGGCCTTTTTGACCGTCTCAAAGCGTCGGGAAGCCGAAGCCAAAAACCTTCAAACACACAAGGACAATCAATGAATCTTGCTTCTTGAGGCCCTCTTTGGGAGGCCTCTTGCAGACGTCTTGGGGCGTCTCGGAGGCCTATGGTGCCGTGTGGGGGCCATCTTGAGCGCCTTGGAGCGATCGTTCGGCTTCGGGGCCTCTTCAGGCTTTCTTGGCCCGTATTTGGGCCCTCTTGGGCCCGAGAAAGTCAGGTGACAAGTTGCGGGGGAGCCCAGGGCGCACGCGACAAACCCCAGTATATTTCTGAACTTTGGGTCTGGGCCCCCAACCGGCTCCTCAGAACTGAGGACTCAGGTTCAGGGGATGGGCAAAGGACCTGAGGACACGCTCATTCCGTGCCCAGCGGAACGGTGGCGGATCTATGTATGTATATTCGTATATACATATGTACACACACATATATACATGCATATATATATATATATATATATATATATATATACAAATGTGTGTGTGTGTGTGCTTACACACATATATACATATGCACAGATATGCACATCGGAGTAGGCCTGGGAGGGGCCAGACCGGGACCACGGGTTCTCCTGGAGCCCTGTGCTGCATATGGGAGCCCCGAGGGCTCCAGAGGCCGCCAGGACTGGCTTAAGACCGCCCAAGTTGCCCCGAAAGCGCCCTAAGACGCCCCAAGATTGCGTCAACAAGGGCCAAGAGGCCCCTAAGACGTCCCAAGAGGGCTCTAAGAGGCCTCCTAAGAGCACCCCAGGAGGAGCCGCAAATCATCATATCCCGATGGGAACCGAAGATTTTCAGCAGATTCGCTCCCCCAGTTGTTGACAGCGTCTCAGGCTGTTCGAGAGGCGCCCCAGGAGGCTCCACTACCGCTTCCGAGGCTCCAAACACGGCCTAAGAAGACCCCAAGACGGTCCAAGGGAGGCCAAAAAGGGTTCCAACAAGGTGCACGACGGGTCCTGGGGCATTTTCCTTGGGGGGCGGCTCGCAACATGCTCCCGTCACCTTGGGGAAGCCTCCAGGACGCTACCAAGAGGCCCCGCGAGGCTCCCGAGAGACTCCGACAACGTCCCCCGGACTCCGGGGAGAATTTCGGCAGCTACCATCGTCCCTCCTGCTGTAAAAGTGTGGGGGGGGCTTTGAAAG